CCCCTCACCTTTGATGGAGAGATTCTCGATGGCCCGGCGCTCCCCACGGCTGCAGTGGGGGGGCAAGGTGTACCCCTTGATGCTGCGTCCTGTCCGCACACGGCTGCTGAAGACGTAGTTGGGGTCCAGGTCATCTCCGCCCTGCGGAGAAAGGAGAGAGACAGGGATGGGGTTGCTATGGCCATACCACCATCCTCTCAGCCACAGAGGAATCGCTCCACATCAGCACCTGAAGTTGCCTTTTGCTGGCCAGGTGTGGAGTAAGGATGGGGGAAAAAACATTTGAAAACATTCAAAAACATATTTTTCAAGGACAGAGATACCCAACAAGAAGAATCCTGGCCTGCTGAGAATTTTCGCAGTTCAGGACTTAGTCTGTGCAAAATTCGCATGTGGTTGTTTTGAGCAGAAAGCAGCATTTTCTATGCAAGGAAAATTGTGCAGAAAATGATATAATTGGGGACTTATTCTGTGCAACATTTACATGAGGTTGTTTTGAGCAGAAAGCAGCATTTTCTATGCAGGGAAAAGCCTTTTCGGGGCAGGAAATATCATTTCCGTATAGAAACATTATTTCCCACACAGAACAGGCTGTTCCTTGTGCAGCAAATGCTGTAATCAGGGATTTTTTTCAATGCAAAATTCACATGTGGTTGTTTTGGGGAGAAAGCAGCATTTTCTATGCAGGGAAAAGCCTTTTCAGGGCAGGAAATAACATTGCTATATAGGCTGTTTCCTGTGCAGAAAATTGGGGACTTATTCTGTACAAAATTTGCCAGCAGTCTGTTTTGCGCAATCGTGCATGCAAACTTTGCATGCAGTTGTCTTCTGTTTACATGCAGCTATTTTGCACGGGTGTGCATGCAAAGTTTGCATGCAGTTGTTTTCTGGACTTGGGGGGGGGAGCCTTTTCTGAACAGGAAATAAAATTTCTGTATAGGCTGTTTCCTGCACAGAAAATGCTGTAATTGGAGACATTCTGCACAAAAATGACACATGGATGGCTTTGCATAGAAAACATCATTTTCTACACAGGTGTTTCCTGCACAGAAAATAATTTTCCTATGTAGAACATTTTCTGGTTGCAGAATAATGTAGCAATGTGGTCCATGAGTGGGGAAGGGCCACAATGCAATTGTCCACTCAGGCTGAAAGCCACAAGTCTGCCAGCAAGCCTTAAGGTGAATCCCAAGATATGGCGACTCTCTCCTTGGGTTTTCTTGGTAAGATGTCTTCAGAGGAGGTCTGCCACCATTCCCATCCTCTGAGGCTGAGAGAGAGTGACTCCCTCAAGGTCACCACAGTTACGCTAAAGTTTTACAGTCTTTTTTGCAGCTCAGTATCCTGGGATCTCATGCATGCAATATCAATATGCTTCCTTTGTGTCGCTTCTTCTCCCTCCCCACACCCCAAACCCTCACCTTCAAATTCTCATGGTTCAGATCTGTCTTATGCTTGTCGGTGGGTTTGTAGCCACTATGACGGTCCTGAATGACGGGGTCAAAGAAATCCTTGAAGACATCGTAACATTCCTCATCACCGGCCACGCAGCCGACGGTCATGATGAAAGGGTGACCTGTATGGATACAAGGGCAGGGGCCGACAGTGTTAAATGAGGGTGATGGGGCAAAAAAATTCATTTTTATTTCATTTCTTCCAGTTCTTGGTGTCTGCTTGAGTGCATTGCATTCAGCTCAGGCAAAATCCCAGCATTAAGCTGGACTGGGTGCATTATACGACATTCTCCCAGAGGTGAAAGAACTATTTTTGGGATTATGACTCTCAGAATTATACTGATGAGGGGTTTTTTTGGGAGTCTTAATGGGGGGGAAAATATATTTGGACTACAATTCGAAGTGGCTATTGTCTGGAGGATGATGGGAGTTGCAGTCCAAACAAGAAACTTTCCAAACCCCTCAAGCACCCACATGGGACTTCTCCAAAAGAGCAGGAACCCTTCTGCATTGCATAATCATAGCACTATGACTCCACTTTAACTCTCATGGCAACATCCTATGGAATTATGGGGTTTATAGTTTGCCGAGGCGCTAGAACTCGCCAGCTGAAACTTTAAATATCCTTCCCCAAACTGTTGCCATGGCAGCTAAAGTGGAATCACAGTGCTGCATTTGTGTTGTGTGAAAGGATATTCTCCATAAAAGGAACTTGGGGGGGGGGGAAGCTGATTGATCAGCCTTGTGTCAAAAGCTTGGAAAGGTAACTTCTGAGTGGTGATGACAACTCCCAGACTATTGGAATACTGGGAGCTGCAGTCCAAGAAATGAAAACTTTCCAAGGACCTTTTGGGTCCTGTTCTGAGCTGGAGGCTGTGGAAGCATGGAAGGCTGGAGGGGGGGACCTACTGACCTGGGTTGTCCACTCCGGTCTGGATGACGTCGTCAATGGTGAAACCACTGGGGGTCTCCTTGTCTCTCAGCTTCTTGTACATGTCCAAGGTGAGGACCTTGGCCATGTGGTTGTTGTGCTTGGTGAGGTCAGGAAACTCCTCCTCCGCCTTGAAGTTGAGCTTGTACTTGTTGTGGGTGTTTCCGAAAGGCATTTTGGCGGTGGATGGGATGAGTCCTAGAATAACACAGAGCCAAAGCAAAGGGGCTCAGTTGAGGGATGCAACTCATTTGGAACAATAAAACATTAACATCCAGACAAAGCCAGACTGGCTCTTGGCCAACATTCTGCTTGGGACCAGTTGTTGTGTGCCTTTATATAGTTTCCAACATAGGACAATCCTGTTGTGGGATTTTCTAGGCAAGATTTGGTCAGAGGGTTTTGCTGCCATTGCCTCCCTCTGAAAGGCTGAAAGAGTGGGACTTACTCAAGGTCAACAAGTGGGTTTTCAGGGCTGAGTGAGGATTTGAACCCAAAGTCATAGATTCATAGAGCTGGAAGGGGTCTTATGGGCCAACAAGCCCAAGCCCTCGCTCAATGCAGGATCTCCATCTAGAGCAGTGGTTCCCAAACTTTGCTGTTTTGGACGTGAGCCCCAAGAAGCCCCAGCCAGCTTGGCCAACAGTTAGGAATTCTGGAAGCAGAAGTCCAAAACATTTGAAAGACCAAAGTTTGGGAACCACTGAGTTTGGGAACCCCAGCCTCTTTTGGAAGACCTCCATAGAAGGAGACCCCACCACTTCTCCCGGCAATTGCTTCCATTGCTGAACCATCCTTACAATCAAGAAGTTCCTTCTAATGTTCCATTGAAATCAACCTTCTTCTGACTTCAAAGCATCAGACCTGATCCTACCTTCTGGGGCAGGAGAGAACAATGCAATGCTAGAATTTGGGAACTGAAGGAAAATTTAATGGGGGAATTCTTATTTGAGGGAGCAATGCCCTCTTTTTGCCCCCACCAGTAGCTAGATTCCTGGTGACCATCTCCATTCCCAGCACCTGAACCCTATTCCAGTTTGTCTACAGCTGCATCTGCACTGTAGACGTAATACAATTTGACTGCCATGGCTCAACACTATGGGATCCTGAGAAGTGTTGGGTTTTATGTGCATGAGCCTAAAAGCAGTGTCTGTACTATGGACCCTTAAAAAGGCCATGTGGAACACTGGTTTGAGAGTTGGATGAGGGTTCCAGGAGACCAGGGTTCGAATCCCCACTCTGCCATGGAAACCATTTGGGTGACCTTGGCCAAGTTCAATTCAGTTCAGAGGAAAGCCATGGCAAACCTCCTCTGAATAAATCTTGCCAATAAAAGCCCTCACTTTTAAGAGGCGGTATGGTATAGTGGTTTGAGTGCTGGACTAGGGCGCCAGAAGACCAGGGTTCAAATCCCTGCTTGGCCACAGAAACCCAGTGGGTGACTGTAGGCAAGTCCTTTCTCTCAGAGGAAGACAAAGGCAAACTTCTCCTGACATAACTTTGCCAAGAAAACCCTAGGAAAAGTTTGCTGTGAGTTGGGGTTGGCTTGAAAGCCCATGAGAACAACAACCAAGCAATAACCCTACAAGGCTGCAAATCTTACATGAAGGTTTCCAAGAAGGAAAGAGGGAAAAGGCAAGACACTAAAAACTGGCTTGAACATCTTTCTTCTAAAACTTAAAAAGAAGAGAGGAGGCATTAACTTCTCTGACTTCTCTGGGCATCAAGCCTTGAGGGCCAGTGCCAATGTCAAAGCTCTGAGGTCGACTGGCAGAGAGGGCACCAGGCACTGCGCAGACCCTCCAGGCTGCCAAGGGGTGGGAAGGAAAGAAACGCCATTCCCCCCTCCATCCAGTTGCCCCCAGTGGAAAGCCAGGGATATTTTTAGTTGGATATATAGCTGCTGATCTTGTCCAGAAAAGGACGCTGGTGCAGAAGAGGACTTGGCTTGCAAGCTGGGGCCGCATTCCAAGGGCTACTTTTGCAAAGTGTCAGCAGCAGTCCCTGGAGCCAGGAGGAGAGGAGGAAACCCAATCTCCTGGTCAGTTGAGAAATGGGAAAGGACTTGGCAGAGAGACCCAAAAACCCCAAACCTCCTTTCTCGCACCCTCCCCGAAATGCCAGCGGCAAGGAGAAAACCCCAGGCGGGCACACATGCAAGGTCACTGAGAGACCTGAGGTCAACGGTGCCATTCAAGGCCACCCTGAACCTGGCACCTCCTCGAAGAGCAATTGCAACCTCTGTCTGCTAGGGATAAAAATCAAGTAATACAGGCCTTTGGGGGTTTCACTTCCGATACCCCAAATTCTACAGTCCTCCCCGGCCAGTTCTTGCATGCTCTTCTGAAAATGTGGATGGTTTTAAATGGGAAAAAAGGGGGGAGGGAGCCTTGAAAGGAATTCCTTTGCAGCCCAAGCTCATGCACCTGTCCTTGTCCATTGCTCACCCTCCCCGTCTCTTTCCAACCCGTCTTCCAATGCAGATCTGGAACAAGCAAAGGGCTTTTTACCTGACAAAGAGAATCAAAGCTTGCAAATTTCCTTGGGGGCTTTGGTGCTGCCTTCGCTCACTCCAGCACAACAGGTGACCCAAGGGTCCAGCTCAGAGACCTAGGATTATATACCCTCTGCTTGGCTCCCATTGGCTGGCCCCGGACGGCTGCGATTGGGCACTGCTGCCCCCAGCTCTGAGATTTGGGCTGGAGTCCTTCCCAACAGACCTGAGCTGCCTGCAAAGGAGTTTGGCCACCCAAGTCCCTGATGGAGCTCAAATGATTCCTGTGCATCTCCTGGTCTGAGACTGGCGCAGACCCAGAGACTGTCTTTGGTGCAGAGGCACGGCCTGGGAGTAATCCGTGAAGTTGCAAATGATGAATGAGAGTGTCTCTGAACATGTGAAGGGTGCTCTTCCCAGAGCTTGGAAAACCATTTCTTATAAGTCATCCATTCTGTTGTTTGTTCCAGTTCTTTGGAGTGTTACTTCTTAAATGAAGCCATGTTGATCTGGAATGTGTTGTGGTGTGCCTTTGAGTCATTTCTGATTTATGACAACCCTAAGGTGAACCAATTGTGGGGTTTTCTTGGCAAGATTTGTTCAGAGGGAGTTTGCCATCGACGTCCTCTGAGGCTGAGAGAGTGTGACTTGCCCAAGATCACCCAACGGGTTTCTTGGCTGAGCAGGGAGTCAAACCCTGGGCTCTAGAGTCATAGTCCAACACTCAGACTACTATGCTACATGAGTCTGGAATATCATATGCAAAGGGTTCTTGCAGTACTAACTTTGTGCAAAAGAAGTTGTAGCATGACCTTTCGTAGACTTAGATCTACTTAGGCATCTATGAAAGCTTATGCCACAGTTTCTGAGACAGATGGTGAGAGGCAGCGTGATGTAGTGCTTTGACTGATTGACTATGACTCTGGAGGTCGGGGTTCAATTCTGCACTTGAGCATAAAAACCCATTGCATGACTTTGGGCAAGTCACACTCTCTCAGCCTCAAGAGGATGGCAATGGCAAACACCCTCTGAAGAAGCTTACCAACTCCTTGCTAGGTTTGCTTTAGGGTTGCCATAAGTCAAAAATGACTTGGAGGTGCACAGCAGCAACAAGAATAAGATAGACAGGAGCAGCCTTTTCTGTTCCTGGGAGTCTCAGAGACAATCACTGCCCAAATATTTCTTAGCATTGCATCTTTTGGGATGTTTCTGATGGATAATGCCAGAAGAAGCACAACTACGTTGGTGTTTTGGTGGTCCAATTTGGACAGATCATTTCAGAAGGGATTCCAACTCGCCTAGCCTAATGTTCAGATGACGTTGTCCTAGGTCCCCCAACCCTTTCCCAAATTGGGGTCCATGGCCTTGGCTTTTGCTTTCTGCTGGGGCAGGTGAGAACATCAGGGGAAAAACTTAAAAACTAGATTCGAGCAAAGGAGTCCTCCTGTTTCTTAAAGTCGCCAAGTGCTTGCAAGATGACCCCAGTCTGGGAGTGAAGGCAAGGCTCCTTGTTGTTTCCCTTTAGGTAGACTGCCTCTGATCCTGGAAGCTCCACCGAGCAGCCATTGCTAGAGCCAACTGTCTTCCATGGATTGGCATAATCCCTCTTTAAGACTTTCTAAGCCAGCCTCTGTTATCGCATCCTCTGGCGACACATGCCACACATTTCACCAGCCCTGTGTGAGAAAAGTCTGTTGTGTTTCTCCTTATGCCTTTGAAAACATGATTCAAGTTAGGAGTGTGTTTCTAAAGATATGTCCTCATAATAAAAATGAGTCAGAATCATACCACTCTCTTTCATCACTGGGTCTCAGTCCAGCCCTACAAATGGAAGCGCAGACTTTAAACGTCAGAGACAAAGAAAGTTATTCTTTTAAAAAATGAATAGGTTTCTATTGCTCACCCCAGAAAACTCCATAATAGGTTTGCCTTAGCAATGCCATAAGTCTGAAATAAGTTGAAGGCAAACCACAACAACAACATATAAAATGGGAAGCTTTGCTTTTTTGGATATTTAAAAAAAATATGTTTCCAAGCCATGAATGGTTGAATCTGTGGATGCAGAATTGGTGAGTATGGAGGAGCGATTGTAAGTATTTATGACCATCAAGATCTCACTCTCTGCAATGCTAAATTGGGGACCAGAGGAACATTTTGTTGAGGAGCAGAATTCTTATTTGGGATAGGCAAGGCCATAATTTTGTCCCTGGCCCCATTGCTTCTTTCCTGCCCTTCTTCCTCCTCTTTTTCCAGACCTACAACTGTCAACCCACCCCATTCCAAGGCTGGCAGGTGTAGAGCAGGTGTTGTCTGGTTTTTCTAAATGGAGGAGACCCCCACCAGGCCCCCAGCAGCTGCCAATTTTTTTTAAAAAAAAATACATTCCTGGGTGCTCATTTCACACATAATATTGGTAACTGGAGCTTGGACAGATGGGAGAGGGTTTTGATCTCCCTTCTCCCATATTCTGCTATGAGGAAATACCACTTGTTTCAGGTAAGAAGCAAATACGATGCCATAAAGAAAGAGGACAGAAAGCATATCCAAGGCTAGTCATGTAGACTGTACAGCAAAGTACAGTAATATCCAAAATCCACAAAACAGGGACACATTCGTCGGACCAACCAAAATGCACAAAATATATGATGCAAGCATTCAAAGCACCACTGGCTTCTTTGTCAGGCAAAGATGGTTAAAAATCATACAGGAAAAAGAAAAATATGATGATGCCTTCATATTGTCAAGTTGTTGTCGTTGTTCTCAGTTAAGATGGTATGGAAGAATATCCATGTAGGCAGAGGCCATTCCTCCCTTTTGGCCAGATGGGCTCTTAAAGGCCTTTGTCCTTTGCAAGGTTATATATATACACAGTATATGGGTGCAGGTAACCACGCAAAGGAGAGAGGCAACCTGGAGTTTAAATTTTATTTCCTGGACCCTGGAGGTAACGATAGCATACCCTCCCACTACCCCGATTCAGCAAGAACAGTATCTATTAATCCTCTGCCATCCCACTTTTCCAGCTGCTTTTAAAATGTCCTGGTTTCTCTCTCCTCCTCCCACCTTTCCCTTTGGTCCTCAGGTTACTCCAATCGCTGCAAACTGAGTTCAAAGTCCAAAAGTAATTTGCCTTCCGTTAACTCAGGAGGAGGGAGAGGAAAAGGGGGGGCAGAATATTGCCCTTTCCAGGAGGGTTAGGCAAAAAGAGTTAGCTGCATCCTCTTGTAACTTGTGTGTGCTTCCTCCTTAATAACTTTTGCCACCTTGACCACAATCTGATGTTGCTTGGTCACACACATCCTTAATTTTTGACATTGGAGGGGATGCAATAGGGTTCAGCTCAACATGTATCCCAGGTTT